GTTCAACTCAAGACATTGTTGCCACTGGAGATATTTATTCTAGGTGTATTTGTTTTTTCAGAAATTGAAATGGTTACGATTAATTCGTAACATGACTTCTTGTCGTCCAATTCTGTTTGTAATCACACTCGTGACAACCAATCGGACCGTGGTAATCACTCGTATGATTACAGATCGAATTGGACTCCACACGGTCCTTGTACAATTGTTAATAAGTAATGACATGAATTCTCGTGTAACTTGGCACAGATAAGAACTCATAAATTTCTCAGATTAGAAATGGCACTCGCCCTACGGGATCGCGCAATTTTATCGGCCTGAAATATTTACTCGTTCTTATTTCAAGAAAATTGTTTCGAAACCATGCGAGTATTCTCTACAAAGAAAAAGGAAAAGAGGGAGTAAGGTGTGATTAAGTTACACCTTTATTCATTTATTCACCACATCAACAGGTTCCTGGCTTTGGTCGAATGAAATTGACGCAAGTTCAAAAGGTAGAACATCTTATCGCAGTCACTACAACAAACCGACGAGAACTGAATAAACACGTTTCTTTCTTAGCAGTTGCAGGAAATGTGAAACAAAAAACTGTTAAGATACCAGCATATAAGACTGAATCACGCTATAGTGGACAATTAATTCGTGAAAACATCCCAGCAAGGCACGATATACACGAGACTTTCTCCGTAGAAATAGGGGCCAATGGGTGTTATTAATTTTTTTTACGCTTTTCAGATGTGGGGAGGCTGGAAAGAGGAAGTATCAAGGAAAGAACGAGGTACAAGACGCGCCCGTTTGTGCCTCGTGCGCGCCTCCGCTCTTCTGCAACTGGCAAAATACGCCGGTCCAACAGGCTACCGGATCCCTTGAGCCTAGATTTTCTTATCAAGTTCATTTAGGTGGGATTACTTGCTTGTGTCGATGTTTCTCCAGTTGATTTTAGCTAAACTCCAATATGGCGAGTATCTTTTAAGTGCTGCGATTGAATGTGAAGTCTGCCAAAAAAGTGAGTGAAAACAATGTAGAAACAAACACAAAAAATAAAGACCGCGAAAACGTTTCACTTTTTAATCATTCAATTCGCCTCGTTGATTTCTTGTTTCATCTTCGGCGTCTTCCAGCGAACCCTGATTGACAAGCAAAGAGAGATAACACAGTTATCGAAAGAAGGTTTTAATCTTTCTAGAACAACTGTGGTGCTGTGTCGGTGGAAGTTACTTCAAGGAAAAAAAAAAAAAGGAAATTTGCGAAGAGTTTCTAAGTTGACGTTTGAGCTTTATCCCCTCGTCAGCGCGAGTGACGAGGGGCTGACGTTCGAAACATCAGCTTTGGCAGCTCTCTACAATGCCAACATTATAAAACCTAATTATCTTGTAATTTCAAATAAGTAAGATAAGTTCGTATAACTAACCTTTCTTTCCCTTCTTCGTAGCTCCACGTTTTTTCTTCCACTGCAAAAAACATGTTATCATAACTACAAGAGCATTTTACACTGGGGTGAAAACAAAGTTGTATAGTTGATGATTTACAGAGTCTGGGAGAATTTTTTTTTAAAATCTCTAATCAGGGTTACATTTGGAATCATAAGAAGATACTCTACCTTAGATTTTGATGTTTTACTGCGCGAACTGCAAGAGAAATGACCACGTATTGAGTAAATCGATGACCATGGGTGGACTGGTAATAAATCAAAAGGGTCTATATTGGGGCGCTGTGATTAGTCTAAAAATCTGGTGCCACATTTTTAATCAATCGCGTGCACAAGCAAGAAGAAACAATCGCGACTGGACTAACCGTGGTTTCATGCACTTGAAGTTATTTACGTGTTTGCTCTGATTTCTCACTGGGCCCCTTCTTAGATTTCACTCCTTGATCTGATTAGTTTGGTTTTGTTTTACACCACTGGTTAGAAAAGGTTGACATGGATGGTAAAGTAAACATTCAAGTTCCCCACACGGGTGGCGTGTGTACGACCTCCCCCCCTTCCGACACTGTTCGTAGTAATCCTCAATCGATGGAAAAGCAGAGCTAAAACCCAATAACCAAATTCTGACACACAGTACAATAAAAACAGAAAAGAAAGAAGGAAAATTACCTGGATCTGGTTGAGTAATCACCACTCTGTAAAACACAAACGAAACAGTAAATATCACAGCACATACACAGACAGCCTCCTTCAGGCGTTCAGCAGCCAAATGATAAATGGCGCGACAATGGCGGTTTAGCGAAAAAAACCAAGGGAGTTTGGGATCGAGACGCTACCCGACGACCCAAACCTGCATAATTGTTTTCACTCTGCCGATAATATCGAGCTATTTATTACCTTGCTGATCAAAGTGACCAAACAGTAATTGTATCACAGAGATCTGAAAATCTTTATACCAACCGTTTCATCGTCATTTAATACAGACAAATCAGCGAATGAGGTCAGCTCGTCCATGCCTGACTGGGCACGCTCTGATATCTAGATTATTAATCAAATAAAGTTCAGTTGGTCAGTAGCGTGCTAGAACCAATAAATAAAAGAATAATGTTGACATGCAAACTTACCTTTTTCTTCTTCTTGGCTGGTAGGCGAAGTAGATTCTCCTCTTCATATCTAAGACGAAAGATAAATGAAATATTATGTTTAGTGTTACCAGGAATTCGATAGGTATTTTCCGTTAGCAAGTGCAAACACTCGCATTAAACTTCCAACTTTGCATGGTCGACAACACATCCAGTGACCGAAAAACTAACCAAGTAAATAAAAAAAACGATAGCATATAGCGAGCAATCTTCATTTCCACTTCACTGATAATATCGAGTAACCGAAGAAATCCGATGAGCCGTTTAAATCAAGTCTGCTTCAATGTTTCCTGTGATTGATCTAGAAAACTCGCACTGGTCACTCTCAACAAACGAAATGCAATACTTGACCCTTTACACCCTACCATCAGTATGCATATTCTCAATACTGTTCCCTATACATTTCCTTGGTTGTTGAAAAGGAGAATGCGTTTATATATTGAGAGCCTCTTTAGTAGGTGATCATTTCCTTTATTCTCGTGACGTTAATGTTTGATTAAGGGGTGATACTGTGTGGAGAAATTAAATGCCAGACACTCCTTGGGGTTAAGGGTTTAAACCATCCGCGACTGGGTCTTTGCGTTTTCCCGCGTTTAAGGAAGTTTTCTGGAAAAAGTTTTTTTTTTTGTTTTTTTTTTTTTTGCTTTGGTTCATTGTGATATTACAAATTTCTTTTGATTGGACGTTGTATTACTTTGGTTTTGTTCTGAAGACTCCCAATCCGAATACGCTCTAAACAAAACGATAGAGAACAAGTCATACAGTTTACCTCGTTCGCTCCTCTTCTTCGTCCTTCTCTTTTTGTTTTCTCCAACGCGAAACAGTTTCATCCTACGAAAAAGAGACACTTCAATTAAAGGACAAACGGTTGACAAAATAGAGTTATAAACTTTGTCCAACAATCAAATTCTCTGATCGAGATAGCAAAATGTTCTGAGAATCAGCACTTGAAGATTCTTAATGGCAAAAGCAAATAACCATACCCGAATTTCTTGTGGTGCATCACTGTATTCATCTGAAAGAAAAACAAGAAAATTAAAGTAAATGATTATAGGTCTAAACAGTTGCTTCCACGCCGCCGTCTTGTTCAAATGTACTGTACCTCTCAGATCGTGTAAAACAGAGCTAGTCAAAACCCTTTTCCTAGATCTTTCTTCATCTTTCTCTTTCCTAGTCTTCTTATCATCTTTATCATCTGGAATTTAATTAAAACAATATGTGAATATAAAGAATTCGAAAGATTTACATTTTGAGCTCAGAAGTGGAAGAAAGAACTACGTTATATACGTCTTGTCACAAGCATGGGAGAAAAGAAAAATCTGAGATCCTCAAGCCATGTAGAGTGCTCATTCACACTACATTAACCGTTTCTTTTTCTCAAGCACCTTTTACAAGGCACCAAGAGTTGGCAACGTGGACTGCAGCGAGGGAATTGCACAAGGGCTCACATCACAACAGGGGATAGCTCTGAGGAAAAAAACCACACAACTTCTCTTGTTTCAGTACTCCCAGGAGCCTTCTGTTGAAGTCTTTTGTCCTACTGTGAACATCATAATTTTAAAATTGGGCTATTAAAATCATGATACTTGATGAAATTCCACAAGATTTCCAGACTTACCATACGGAACAGCTGCTACTTTTGGAGGAACATAAACTTTGGATTTTTTAGGGGCACCTTCCTCATCACTACTCTGTGAATCCTCATCGTCAAGCTTTGTGTAATGAATTAAAAAAATCAACAAACGCATTCCCTAAAGCAATTCTTTCAACTATATGACATGTATTATGATAAATTATGATTATGATCTCAAGTCTCAAAATATAATTTTAAACTTGGAAAGGCTCATACAGACATGTTTTTTTGGTCATGAAAACTAATGGCAGTAAAACTGCCCTTAAGATACAAAGGCTACAAGATACACAACTCTATTCAAGAGCACTTGGTTTGAGGAAACTTTCAATCCATTGCAAAACAGTGTTTGTATTGAATGGATGGTCTGTAATCTGACACACTCATTTGCTATCACCCTGGGGTGAAAAGGGATATCTGAGGCCTAACTTTTTCTAAGATTATTGACAAAAATTGGATAGATAATGAAATACCTTTGAAACCATGTTGTCTGGATTTGGCTTAAATCTCAAAGGATCAATTTCAGCACCTTTAGGAGAAAGAAAAATGTGCAAGGGACTCAAAAAAAAAACAAAAAAAAACAAAAAAAAAACCAGGCCCACCAACATGCATATTCATCAAACTCACTACCAAACTGCAAGGTTTTGTCATATACAAATCATGAATAAATCATTGCTTGATTTAAGTGGATTTCCTGGACTTTCCAAGACCTGTAGTTGTTTTCCAGGACTTTCCACTGCTGGAAATAAAATGTCCAAATAAAATTCCAGGACTCTCAGGTTTTCCAGGACCTGTAAAAACCCTGATTTTAGAACTACATTGAGACCCAACTAAGAGAAGGGAGGCTAAACGTTTGTTAATATACCTGAGACTGTTCCAGTTGTAGCAGTCTTGATCATTTTATCAATCTGATATTTCATTTTCTGATCAATTGGTCTCAGTTTCTCCAAAACCTTAAGGAAATATAATGATATAAAATAAAAGTTACAAAAACACTTTTAATCACAATATTTAAGGAGATCTTAACTAAAAATGTTTAAGTATACACTCACTGTACGTGCTTCAACTAATCTGTCCACAGCTGGATCTCCCTGCCATGAGTTCCCATCAGTTTTTGTTAACAAGTAGTAAGTGAGATCGATAACATAGCTGTCAGTGACACAAAAATAAAGGGAAATAGTCACCATAGTAATTATTTCTTTCCAGTATACTTTTAACTCTCTTAAGTTCCACTGACAGAAAAGGTTCCTGCCCAAGATTGGAAGACCTCAATTGTTACAATAGACAGTTCATTATTTGATCATAACCATACATTCGAGCAACAAAATTTTATTCCACATCTTTTTTAAATCCATTGAGATTAATGGAATGATAATGTTAAAACTTAAAAATTGACATTTCAGACTTTAAATTCTCAAGAAGACATCATGATTAACTGAGTCAGAAACAATTTGTAAGTTTATAAGATCTATAAAAAACTTCTGAAAAAGCCAATTTCAACAGAATGAGTAGGATGGCAAATAATATTCCTAATTGGATCTGAGGGTGTCTGAAATAAATTGACGATGTTAACCAGTTGCTTTTAAGATGGAGGAGTGAAAGTTAACTTGAGTTAACATTAATAAAGGAACTTTCATTCAAAATTCTTGTATTCTCTTTTTTTCATCAAGGTACCTACCTAAGGAGAAGATGAAACTTAAGTTCTAAAAAACTCACACCCTGAAAAATACAAGATACAATAGACTGAAATATGTGATATGCAGCTGTAGTATTTAGTTTAAAGAAGATTTTAAAGAGAGCAAACCAAGTTTGTTTTTTCGAGGATATCTACAAATTAATTGACACATCTAACTAACATACCTTTTTTGTTGCCAATGATCCACTTGTAATTTTTACTAGTAAGCTTTCTGCATGATGGTTTATATCTGAAATCTTAGAGAAAAAAATACACCAAGCGTATGTTGGCCATGGAGTAAATGGAGAGTTTTCTTTAGGCAGTCAAGATTGAAGACTCCTAAGTGAATGTTGGAAGGGAGGTATGGGGCTATCCTGCGATAGACAGTTTACATAACATCTGAGGGGGGTACGGAGAGAAAATAACTATGATCTCTTCTTTAGTTAATTACTTTACCCTTTACACCCTAACATCAGTATACATTTTCTCCATACTGTTCTCTATACATTTCTAATGGTACTGACAGAGAGAATTTGTTCAACAATCAGCAGTGTCTTTAGTTGGTGATCATTTCTTTTATTCTCATGACCTCGATGTTTGTTTTATGGGTGATCCTGACAGGAGAAAATTGTTGGTAATATATCACTCTTAGGGGTTAAAGGGTGAAGACTTTGGTGGCACGAAACACTTTAATTTCCCGATGTGTCTCACTCCCCCTACCTCCTCTCCGCCGAGCATCCAGATATGGTCAAAGATAAAACCACCCCTTCCTCCCATTATGTAAGTGAGAGTATCAGTCTTGAGCGATGCTACTTCGTAAAGTAATTTCGCATGCATTATGAACCAAAATGTTCTCCTTTCCCTAAAATCACAATGATAAGAACTCCGTTTAAAAGTCAAGAAGATTATCTTGTCGATCTCGTTTATGATCGACGTTTCTGATGGATTAATTACGTCCTAGGGTTTGCTCGTTATGGAACATCGAAGAGGAAAAAGCCACGTGAGTGTTTTCTTACCTTTTCACCCATTTCTCTCATGGATGAAATGACTTCTGGTAAATCTTTGTCCATCATCTGAAGTAAACGTGAAAGGTAGCATCAAAATATACCGTTTAAAAGAAGAAACAAAGGCTACAGCGAAATTAGTTGAAACGTACTTCTTTCAACGCTATCTCATCCACCATGTTGGAAAACACAGTAAACATGAGGTATTGACGGATGACGTCTGACGTCTGACGGACGTAGTCGGTACTGCTTCGGTAGACGTCGTGTAAACTCCGTAGTGCGGTCGATGTAATGTCGTTTTTCCCATGGCTTTCGTCCCCAATCTTCTCTCAATTATTCTCCTATTTATGTTCTCGTCTTCCAGTCTCTACTAGCAGGCGAGATCTAGAGATTATGGGGATTTTGGCAAGCAAAGGAATCGAATATGAGGACAGTTACCGTTCCTTTTCCGAGAAAGAACGCCAACACCTCTTGTCACTTTTCAATCAGCTCGCTACTGCTAATGATCTTGGTGTTATGAAGGTAGAATTTGAACCGCTTAAGGTAAGGCCTTACCACAGGGGAATCGCCGTATTTAATTTGATTTGCAACTTCAAATGAAGAGCTTTTTAAATTTTTTATTGATGTTTTATTCAGAAGGTGTTAAATGTTATTACCTCGATTAAAAAAACCGCTATGCACCGCTAAATCTCTTGTTCTTGTTATTTTCTTATTACGCTCTTGTAGCTTTATTCAGCGCCTTCGATTTCACCTGCCTTTTACTAATACAATTGAACCTTCTTGTGTTGCATTCACGCTTGTTAAAAATCAACACAATTTTCATCTGCATCCTTATTTCCTTGAATAATTTTCTCGATAATTTAAGGACTAATTTCGCTTGTTTTCTCGTTTTTTATTAAGACTGGCTAAATTGAGGAGGAAACCTTACAACTCGTGACAGTTTGGCTGAATAAACACTGAGAAAAGGAAAAAAATTAAAATTCTTATTCGGTTCTTGGGACAAAGAAGTTTTACTTTGGAAATATACCAGATGCAAAGCTTCAAAATACTCTTTCATTTCTATCTCCAAACTTTCATATAAATATGCGTGTTTTGAAAGAAAACAATCATGGCTCACAAACTTTCTATTGAGAATATAAGCATTCTTCTGAAAACGATAGGAATCATTCCATATTTTAAGGAAGCTTTTTACACAAAGGCAAATGACATGAAATTTTCTATATTCCAATTTTTGAGATTTATTGAGGATGAAGAATTATTTAAGCAAGGGGCCTTTACCATTATATACTTGCCTTCCATCAAGCCATGCATGTAAATCCTACACATGTGGATAAAAACTATAATTATAGAATTTTTTTTTCTTTTTCCTTTTTCTTAATTATAGAATCACTTGGCATGGCTTTTACCTGAGTGCGTTATCAGTCGTTTCTTCAAAGAGATGTGTAATATTCAACGAGCTCGCCGAGTAGTGAAAAATCCACTTGAAGATGGTCAAGTGGGCAGGGTGGCTTTTTTTGTGTCAATGTCTCATGTCTTTAAGAGGAGCAAAGCAGAGAAAGGACAGATATTTTACCACTTAACTGCTGATGTTGACCAAGTAGTGACAAGTGTTGAGGTGGAAGAACTCTGTAAAATATTATTAGATGCCTATGTTATGGCATTAAAAAAAACTACTGATGGTGCAAAATGGGAACTGCATACTAATGCTGAGGCAAACCACAGATTTGCCAAAAATGCTATTCAAGAACTTTTAGAGAAGAAAGCAGACCCTAGTTGTGTTTCTCCAGAGGAGGTTATTTCATGGTTTAGTAAATTTCCGCTGATAGAAAAATTGTTTCTGGCTGTTATGAGGGCTGGATTCTTTGATGTAGAGAGTCTGTTAGAAGCCAAGCCTCATGGTTTAGAGGAAGGATGTGAAGAGACAGTTGCACATGTACAGTATGACAGGTGAATATTGTTCAGTTTAACAACTACATTCTATGCTTCCATCTGTCTGTTCAGTAGCAGATCACAGATGTGTCAAAATTTGGTATGAACGAAAAAGAGTCAATCTTTACCACATTTTGACATCTTCGGGGACCATTACCAGAACAGTCCCAACATGTGTTTATGCATCTATACTTGAAAAACTCATAGATAAGAACCAATCAAACTTCTCATAGATTTCAACTTATTATATAATTAAGAAATAAATTCCATGTTGCCTTGTTCAGTCATAGATCAAAATGTTATTAACTGTATCTATTATTCTATCTTTTGTCTTGGGGTACATCTCTTTCCCTTTTCAAGATTACACACAGATTATTTTGGACCAAGTGTTCAATTCAAACATGTATGCCCAGGTTTTAAGACAGCTCTTATCTCTTCAGGTCACACATAATAATGCCATGCAAGTTTGAAGTGGATTTCAATAAAGTTGATTCACTTTTGGACATTCCATCTATCATTCTTCTTAATCATCACTTGCCTCAATCATCTCAACATCAATGGCGTCTACTATTCTCCACTCAAACTCATGGCGAGAGCTTCAGTGCTTTTATTCATCAAATCACCAATCAAGGCCCGATGATTATTGTTGCCAGAGACACTGGTGGACATATTTTTGGAGGGTTTGCCTCAGTTAGTTGGTCTATAAAGTCTCATTTTGTAGGTAAGTACCCACAGAGCAGTCTAAGTTGACACAATTTTAAAGGACAAGGTACTTACCAGAGAGATATGGACATACTTTTGGAGGGTTTGTATCATTATGATGATAAAGTCTGAGTTTTGTGGGCAAGTATGGGTGGCATAGTCTTTCATTGACAAACTTTTGAAGAACTAGGGACTTAGCAGAGGAAATATGTCATTTATAAGGGTGGTATGTTCCCTCCACAAGTAGATCAAACTTCCCAGGACAATGCACCCAGGCTAAACAACACTTCTTGACAATTCACAGGAAATGTTTGGTAACAATTAGACAGCTTTTATTAAACTTTAAATAAAGTAAGATATCATAAACAGTATCAGCCTGACAAGAACAGTTTGATGTATTGTTATTTCTTAAAATATTTGTTTTTGGTCATTTTTTTTTATATATCAGCTATTATAATTTTTTTATGTAGAAAAGAAAGCCACTTGCTGGAACTATAGGATAAACCATCATTACAATTATTGTAATTGTTACTATTGCTATTATTATTATTACTATTATAATTATTATTATCAAGAAGTAACACTTTCTTGTGTTTGTTTATTAATTTTGTTTTGCAGGTGACAGCTACTGCTTTCTGTTCAGCCTGAAGCCTAAAATGGGTGTGTATCATCCTACTGGTTACAATGAGAACTTCATGTATCTGAACATGGGCATGCAAACAATGCCTAATGGATTGGTAAGACTTAATAAAATGTATTACTTTCCTTCTGAGTAACATTCAAACTATGAGGTTTTGGGCCAAACTTGTGATTTTGTTATGTCTTCCTTTCATCTGTTATTTGGTAGTCATAACTAACTCTCTCCGAGTTATGACTACGTCACCTTTACCAAAGTGACTACCAAATTGTTAATTAAGCTTAATTTTGTTTGAAAAGAGAGAGTTTAAAATAGCAAAGGAATTACTTGACAACAACTTGAAATGCATTAACTATTACTGATAAAATTCAAGTTTAAAATTATACTTGATCTCATTTCTTTTTTAGAAAAAAATATCCAAATTCACTTTTATCTGGGAGATTAAGGAAATTGTAATGGAGACCAAGAGATTCTCTTTCTATGTGAGAGACTCCTGGATAATCTGTAAGAGTTAGATAGTAAACACTGTTTGTGGTTCACAGTGGCAGACAATGACTTATGTTTGGTGTTGCTTTAGTGGTATTCTATATTGCTTAACTCCACTCTAACACTAATTTTTTGCTCTTTTAACAGGGTATGGGAGGTCAGTTAAACTACTTTGGATTTTGGTTAAATGAGGACTTTGGCTCAGGACATAGCCGTGGGCAGCCTTCCTGCACAACATATGGCAGCCCAGTCCTCTCTGCAGAAGAGGAGTTTAAGCTTGATAGACTTGAGGCTTGGGGTGTGGGTGTACCACCAGAAAATGAGGCAGGTGTTTCCTTAGCAAAATCAGTTATTTTCTGTTTGCTTCTTTACAAAAGAGTGATTTTTATTGGGCTGGCGACAGGGCTGTTAGTAAGATTTAGAGCAGAAGGCAAAGGAGAAATAGTAGGCAGCTAGTTTGTTATAGGTGCCATGGTGTTTAGTCATGTTACATGCAAGACTAAATTAAGCATTCAGTACCTCTCAAAACCAGAGAAATGTTTGATGCTTTACAAAAATTTTTTTGATGATTTATCAACATTTGTGGGAATTTTTATCACAATAATTATGATAAAATGACGCACAAGTAGTAGTCTAAAAATGGCAGACAACCCAGTGTTTTTGGCTGGCTGTCAGCTCTTGTCAGGTCTGCAGCCAGGAGAGTGCAATTATCTAGAATTATATGATACTGATTTTTAATCCTATGGTAGGGTAACAAAAAAACCAGAACAAAAATTAAGCCACCCTTTGTACAGGGTTTTTATGGGTCCTGAAAAACCTGGAAAGTCCTGGAAAAAGACTATGGGTCCTGAAAAGTCCTGGAAATTTGCTTCACTCAAGGAATAAAGTTTCAGATTTTATGTTTTAAGAAATGTGTGTAGGCTATAAGCAGAATTGAGTTTGAAATCTTGGGAATGAAAGGGTTTAAAGTGAAATTTGAAGTCCTAAAAAAATAAATCTCAGGGAAAAGTCTCAGAAAAGTCTTAGAAAGGTCTTTAAAATTTTTTTCTGAAAAGGATTCGAACCCTGTCTGTATTATTGAAATGCACTGATAAAACTAATAAACTAATTTTATGGCGTTTGGCAAGTTAAATTCTGTGATTCAATGTTACTACACTTAAGATCACTGTGTCATTTTTTTCTTAAACAGGTAGAGGAAAAAAGTGTATTGGATACAAACATTGAGGCCAAGGCTTTCTTGGAAGTCATTGGTAAAAAGATGCATAGTGAAGGATTTAGAGAGCCAGATGCTAATTAAAAAAATGTTTGAGGTGGTGGAACATCACAAATGGGGTGTCTGAAGACAGTTTCCTTCCTGTTAGAGTCTGTTTGTCTCCCTCTCTGCCTTAAGATGGGGTGAAGCCATGACAAAGGTGATTTGCCTAGAAAGGTTTGTTGAGTAAAAGGTTTGCAGTAAATGAATGCTGACAACCTTCTTTTGGTCCAGTTTTGAATTTGGTTGTGTTGCATGTGTGAACAAGCAAGCAATTGAAAAATTATTATTGATTACAAGCTCTCAAGGCTGTATATTTCTTTTGGGTTAAAACAATTTCAAATATAGATGCATGTGTAATTATAATAAATGGAGGATGAAGGTTTTACTTCAGTTTGAATTCAGCTAATTACTGGACAGGTGCTTGTGGGATTGATACTGTATTTCCTAGATACCAGAAATAATAACACCAATTGCAAAATATCATATGTTTCTATTATTATTGTAATGTAAGTAAGAAAAAAAAGATTATTTACAGGAAATATTATCCAAGTGGATTTCTGTTTTCTGCAACTTCTGCTGGACCAGAGTCATTCTTTGTTAAAGAATATTATACTTTTCTGTACAGGACTGGCTGATAGAACTTTATACAGTATTTATTTTACATTAATTACTATTTGTGTAATGGTGGGATAAAATTAAAAGTACATTTCAAACAGTGATAGATATAAATATAAGCCCTACTGGTAGTTGATGTAATGAGTGCATTGTTGGAGTCCAGTTGAACTCAGAACGGAACTCAAACAATTGGCAGCTGGGTTCTTTCCAGTATCCCTGAAGGATTGATAGTACATAAAAATTAAAATAAAATTAGTTGAATTAACCAACTCTTGGTATCAGTCATTAATTTGTGAGTCAACAACCTTCATTTTAAGGAAAAACCCCATGGAGGTGTTATTTATCCTTTAATTCTCAACATCTCATTAGTAATTCTTCTGAGTCTACCATGTCTACCATACAGTTTTTGTGATGTTAGTTTGGAGAATTTGGCATTGGATCAACTTAAAATCCCCTAACTGATATTTTCTTCATTCTTGTCACTTGTCTGCTTGATACTGTATTGATGTTGTAAGGAGAAATTCTGTCTTGGTCACTCATGGGAGTTAAAGGGTTAACATGTGACAATAGATCTTTTTAAAGATCATTGCATCACTTGTTTTCTTAGCCATATTAGAAAAAAATATGATTTTTTTACTGTATGCAGTATTACGTCAAGCCATCCTTTAATATCAGTAGCATCCATTACATTTAACACTAAATTGTCGAATTTAACTCGGAGACTGATCGTG